TGCTAATAAAAGACAAAATTGTCTTTAGGCTAGACCGACGTAACAATATCCCCTCCCAAAAAAAACCTTGTCCTCAAGGTGGATAAAAGGAAACTGTTGCTGGATCAAACTCTCCTGCATCCTCTTTACACATTGTGAGAATTTTTAGTGTCTATTGCTCGCAACGGTGCCTTGGAGCAAACTTTTCGTTGCACTGACGACATAACCCTTTGCTCGCTTCTCCTGAATTTGTCTTTGTAAGTTGCTTAAGTTGACCCATAGACGGTCCCCCTAATTCTTTTCCTTCAGCGCCACCTCTTGAAATGACATTTTATGGGTTCTTAGTGTCGTTTTCGTCGAGGTACTCTTGTATAATTCTTTCATGGTGCTGCCTCTATGGTCTTCTCCATCTGGTCCTTGTCCTCCACCATCTGGGCTAGCTCCATCGTCTCCCTCAATCCCCGTGGTATCTACGGTCAGAGTGCCGCACTTATGTCTCGCTTTTGACCATTCGTGAAATTCCTCTCCAATACTACTTCAAAAATCCTCCTGAGTTGCCTCGAAAATAGCTCAAATTTCTCCCTATACTCTATGATAGTCCCTTCCCCAATTAATACAAAGAATTGTTCGTATGGATCTCCTTGTCGAATGGCTCGAAAACGTTCCAACAAGTAATTCTTAAATTATTTCACAAATGGATCGGTTATCTAGCTTCACTCTACTGAAAACACGCTAGGGCTTTCCCCTCCAAACATAATCATACTGCCATGAGCTTCCCCTCCCAATTTAGCTTATTCATCGCAAAATATTGCTCTACTTGCTAACCCATGTGCATCCTCCCCTTCTAAGTTTGGCATCTTTAACTACTTAACCCTAACATCTACACCCAACTTCCTCTCCCTTCCCTGTTTCCCCCCATGTATGTGATTGCCCGAACTCTCACCCATCAAGGTATTATCTGCTTTAGCAACATGACCTTAATGTTTTGCCCCGTTGATGTAACTTCCCAGGAGGTCATTCATCCAATAATTGCTTTAGCATGGGCACACTTAACTATAAGGTTTATAATGAAATTCCAATTTTTACACCAAAAGGTACCTCAATGTTTAAGAGTGCTTTAATTTACTAAGGGGTTTAACAATCTCACTCACTTAAGCAACTAACACTTCATACCTAGACTCATCCACTAGGCAGTTAGCATTCTACAAAAGAGACCCTTATAGATTTAAGAGGTGGCTCCCACTATGTAGCACTTTGTACCATCTTGGGTTCAAGAGGTAGCTCCCATGGCGTAGCATTTTGTTCTATATGTCACTTAGTTTCCATCTTTTGGCTGGTGGAATGCTTTGATACTTTTTTTGATAGCCCGAACTCTCACTTATTAAGGTATTGTTTGCTTTAGCCACATGACCTCGTGGTTTTGCCCCGTTGATGTAACTTCCCAGGAGGTTACTCATCTTATAATTGGTTTAGCATGGGCACACTTAACTTTAAGGTTTCTAATAAAATTTCAATTGTTACACCAAAAGGTGCCTCAATGCTTAAGAGTGCTTTTACTTAAGGGGTTTCACAATCTCACTCACTTAAGTAACTGACACTTCATACTCAGAATCATCTACTAGGCAGTTAGCATTCTAAAAGTGGCCCTTACAGATTCAAGAGATGCCTCCCACAATGTAGCATTTTATACCATCTTGGGTTCAAGAGGTGGCTCCCATGGCGTAGCACTTTGCTCTATATGTCACTTAGTTTCCACCTTCCTGCTAGTAGAATGCTTTGATACTTTTTGTGACAGCCCAAACTCTCACCCATAAGGGCATTGTTCGCTTTGGGCGCATGACCTCACAGTTTTGCCCCGTTGGTGTAATTTCACAGGAGGTCACCCATCCTACGATTGCTCTAGCATGAACACACTTAACTTTGGAGTTTCTAATGGAACTTAACTGTTATACCAAAATGCACCTCATTGTTTAAGATCAACTTCAATCTACTTAAAGGGTTTCACAATGTATGGACCATAAATCTCCTTTCTTCGATCATAGCCATACCCCATCTTAATTTCTCTCTTTTCTTGTTCATGCTTCTCCAAACCCCTTTTATAGTCCTCCATATTTCGGCCCAACCACCTCCCTCGAAATTCTCTAATCCACCCCTCACTGGAGCTCTCAGAGGAGCTTCTTAATGGTGGTTTTTTTTCTTCTCGTGTTCCTCTTGTTCGATCTTTTTTCCTTTTGATTTAGCCAATGAATGTACAATCAACCCTTGGTTAGGTTTGCAAATTGAACCGTCAGAGGAGTCATGAATTGCATCTCGATAAGCCTCCTTATCCTCTGCTCCAAGCGCTTGAATCAGTTTTCAATGGATGAAAATTTTTTATTGGTGGTTGCAAACCTTTCCTCTATCCTGGATTTTAGTTGGCTCACCTTCCTACAATTTCATTTTCAAATTAACTACTTTCTTAGCTGCCATTATTCTGTGAAAAGTTATCAATCACAAAAGTCAGAAACCTCTGTACACTGAAATGCCTTGTCAATGATTTTCGGATAGTTTGTATCATGTTTATGTCGCGAGATAGTAAACTATATTTGGCTTTCTTTGATTTGAGGCCCGCTCCAGTTGCACACCCACTTTGGAACAAGAGAAAGATGGGTGTTTTGAGCTTTTATACATCGCAACCTCGACACGACCTTCTCAGCTAGCTCAAATCGCGACTTCTTTTTGCTTCTAGGGCATACCGACGCTTCCAGATAGCTCCAATCGCGATCTCTAATTGTTTTACGTGATAGGCAAAAACATTGAATTCCTGCCGTCATTGGTTATACGCAGTCCCATTGGCGTCGACTTCCCTATACACTCAGATTGAGCGCTCTGAACAACGTGATCCCTTCCCGCGGTGGAGCTCTCAGAGGAGGTTTCGCGCGATCGGTGAACAAGGCTGCGACTCTAAACTGTGATTCGTGGTTCTTCTAGAAATCAACAACTCTGATACTAATTGATACGATTCTTGGCTAATTTTTAACAAAAATTAGGGCAAACACATATTTTATTGCAAGAACATCAAATATTTAATGTGAATATAAAGATAAGCGCCTACAATTCAAGAGGTTGACGATCTCTCCCAAATCCTACACTTTGAGAGGTAGGAAATATCTCCCATACCCTAAGCCTAAGACACATGACCCAATCTCATGTATAAACCTAACTCTAAACACATTAGCCCTATTTATACTAAAGATTAATGAATGAAAAGAAAAAAAATTCTCTTAGACTAATAAAAGACAAAATTGCTCTTAGGCTAGGCAAGTGTAACAAATTGATACTGCTAGTGGGGAGATGGACGACAATTGACAATTTGCACGAATGGTGATGGGACAACAAACCATAGGCGTCAAAGTTGCAAATTTCTGCAGTAAGCAGCTGTTGGAAGCGTGTTCGATGGCTGTTTGGCGGAAAACAACAAGCAAACGGTGAATCAGTGTGGTAAGGATGTCGAGGGGGATATACCACCTGTTCCTGGGCAAGCTACAAACACCCCCCTTGCAAAGGAAAGAGACTACAACACTCTAGAGAGCAAGAAATCAGAGAGTTACTCTCAAAATGCCTAAAGCTTAAGCTGCAATTCCAAGCAGCCCAGTGCATGTATATAGAATCTCCTAATAGGAAATAGCCTAATTAGAAAATAAAAACATAAGAAAGAACTAGAAAGGAAGGAAGCTAAGTAGGAAAAACAAAAAGAAAAATAAAACAGAAGAAAACAGTGGCATAGGATGCCTGCAATCGTGGGATCCGAACCCGCCGATATGGCGGCGCCGCACTGGGGAAAACTGCATTTGCATCAATTCATCTTTGAAGAAGGTGCATAAATATAAGGATTTGATCCGTTTGAGATGCATATATTGAGATTTAGAGAGTTAGAAATTGCTATAGTAGTTTAAATACTAAAATTTTAAAAGAATTTTGAAGACTAAGATGATGCCAAATGATTGAAGGATGAGTATTTTGGAATCAATTTTTAAGAACAATGATGTTTAAGATTGCAATAATTATAGATGAATCAAGCTTATAATGGTGCTATGAGAGAGTTACGGAATGTACATTTAGAAAATTTATGCCAATTTTAGAGAATTAATTTAATTTCATGAGGAAGGTTTATATTGAAGTGAATTTTTGTGTTAAGATAATTAATGCAAAAATATAGATGATAGATAATGGATCTCGATATTGTTTTTATTCATTTTGAGAAAGAGATCAAATAGCATTATAACTGTTTTGGTGCGTAGGTGTAAGTTATTCATAATAATTTGCGTAGTGTTTTCAAGATCTAAGGCAACATTCAATAGAAATAAGTAGAAAATGAGGATTCATAAAGCTTGTACCTAAATAGTTGTGTTAATGCTAACCATGAAGATACATTCAAATAGTTGGGATGAGTGATGGTGATTATACTGATGATTTGATAGTTTCACATGTGATTGGGTTTCATTTTTCTATTTTTCTTTCTGGAATAACTAAATAACATTCTTCTGTTTTTTATGGCATCGTACATCTAGATCATTGCAGTTTCCATTTTTGAAGTTCCAATTTTATTCGCTGGTATAAGGTTGGTGCTGATGTTATTTAGTTAACACATGCATTAATGTCGTAATGTGGGCTTGGAGTAATGGTTTGGTTTCTTTTACTCTGTTTTCAAGTCATATCTCACAGTAATATAACTAGAATGCATTAGTGTTATGATATGGACTTTGAGTAGTGGTTTTCTTTCCTTTTACATTATCTCGTACCAAGCGAATGTACATTTTTTAAATATTTTTGTTGTGTAGATCAATCCCTCTCTTAGACCTGACATTTATGAGAAACTTCCTTCACTTTTCATTGCCATTTTATTAGTTCGTTATTTACATTTTTTAAATATCTTTGTTGTGTAGATCAATCCCTCTCTTAGACCTGACATTTATGAGAAACTTCCTTCACTTTTCATTGCCATTTTATTAGTTCGTTATTTGCGTTATATGTTGATTCAGGTTGCAGTAGCTCTTTCACATGCCGCCATCTTGGAGGAATCCATGCGGGCGCGAGATCAACTCATGGATCAGAATGTCGCTTTAGATTTAGCACGGCGGGAGGCAGAGATGGCCATTCGTGCACGGAATGATTTTTTGGCTGTCATGAACCATGAGATGCGGACCCCCATGCATGCAATCATTGCTCTATCCTCCCTGCTTCTTGAAACCGAACTGACTCCGGAGCAACGTTTGATGGTAGAAACTATCTTGAAGAGCAGTAACTTGTTAGCAACACTAATAAATGATGTTTTAGACCTTTCTAAGCTCGAGGATGGCAGCTTCGAGTTAGAGGTTACAGTTTTCAATCTTCACACTGTCTTTAGAGAGGTAGTTATTTTTATATACTTTTTCATACTGTCTTCAGAGAAGCTGTATGTTTATTTTTATTTTCAAAATGTTCCCAACACTTTGCAAGGGATCATTTTAGTCTCATAATTTGTAAAAGTGCCAATTTAATCCCAGACTCTTTTAATGAGGGCTAAAATAGCTTTTCATGGGAACTATTTTAGCCCATATTAAAAAAGCGCTAATTTGACACTTTTATAGACACTTTACTTTTTTTTATTTCTTCCATAAGCAATTCAATTTTCTTCTAGTTTTGCTTAGCTGACTATTTTCTTATGTTAAAATATAGGTCGTAAATTTGATAAAACCAATAGCAGCCGTCAAGAAGTTGTCATTGATTGTGTTTCTTTCTCCGGACTTGCCGTCGTGTGCCGTTGGAGACGAGAAACGGCTTATGCAAACTATGCTTAATGTTGTTGGAAATGCTGTTAAATTTACGAAGGAGGGTAGCATATCTATTACAGCGAGTATAGCAAAACCTGATTCATTGAGAGATCCTAGAGACCCAGAGTTCTACCCCATCCCAAGTGACGGCCATTTTTATTTACGAGTGCAGGTTACGTAAAAGAAGTATTTGACGTGTTTAGCATATATGAAATTTCTTGAGTAGAAGCTTCTTTTTGTACGTTTCATACATTGGCTATATATGCTTCTTTTCTGGTACAGATCAAGGACACTGGTTGCGGAATAAGTCCGCAGGAGTTGCCACACCTCTTCACTAAATTTGCACATGCCCAAAATGGTTCTGACAAAGGTTACAACGGCTCTGGGCTTGGGCTTGCTATTTGCAAGAGGTAAGGCTCTATAGATGGGATGCTCCAATGCATAAATTTGGTAGGGTGGGAAGTGGAAATGATGGTTTTCATTTTCAGTTTCGGTTTTGGTTTTAGAGCCTTTTATGGGGTTTGGGTTTCCACAATTTCGAAGTCTTGATATTTTTGGTCCTTAGTTTTGCGTCATCGGTTTTAGTTTTGAACAATTTTTGAATGCCTTGTAAATTTAAAGATTTCTTCAATATGCATTTAAATTCTCTAAGAATGTTATTTTAAATGAAAAAAAGGTGTTTTTTTTTTGTTTTCATTAAATGACTTGTAGACAATATATAAATTGAAATATTTTTAAATTTGAATTATTTATTATTTTAAATTAATGTATGGCTATATGTTTGAAATAATTAACTAATTGGCTAGAATGATTCATGAGATTGTTATTTAAAATAATATAATTTACTTATTAATATTAGTGATGGTGATTTGGTAGTGTGGATTAATACTTAATAATGCATGTTGAAGGTTCTTTGTGTAACTTTCACGTAACAAATCACTATATTTTTATTGTTTAGGAATAAATTATGCATGCAATTCGTATAAGGACATGAAAGGATGCGATTTTCTCACCTAAAGACTTTTTTTTGGGCTGAAAATGAAAATAATCTAATATTTCGTATCAGTTGAGCTAAAACCACTGTTTTGAATTGGCTTTGGCTGATACAAAAAACTATGATAAAAGAAATTAGCCAATGTTAATCATCCCATTGCATTTCATTATTTTATAAAGCAATTTATTTTTCCTTGTTATAATTATTTTGCATCTCACAAAGCATGTCAAGCTATATGAATTGCTAAAAGCATTCTCCTTGTATTTTCTATATTGGAGTATATGAACGCTATAACAGTCAAAGTCATGTCTCTTGTAATCTTTCTAAACTGAAATTTTACTAGCTGCTTTGTAATTTTAGTGACTTTAAATGTCTTATTTTGCACAAAAGCCCCAATTATACATGAACATCAAAATGCTCTACCTGTATAACCTGACTTCTGCAAAATAACCAAGTTATAAATTTGTAGAGTTTTATCACATATCCTTTCAACTTTTTTTTGGTCATTTTCATACAACAATTGGATCCCTCATTTGCCTTTGAATAATCTTGGCATTTTACTTTTCATTCTTTATTTCTCCTCATCCTTCCTTTTTAGACAACAATTTACAATGGCACTATTTTCACAAATTTTAGTCTATAACGTGTGGGCTTCGTGTTTCAACTTATTGCGAGTCTGTTTCACTGTAAGTGATTGAGTGTTTTGATTTTGCTTCTAGGGTTTTATTTGGTTAAGATTGGATGAAAGTGAATTATCATTCTTGCAACTCACCTTTAAAAAAGTGAGAAGTTTTGGTCTTGATGGTCAGAAAGGCATCTTTTTATTTTTGCTTCTTTCTTTTAATAATAATAATATAATAATGATAAATTGGTGGGATGATTGGTTAGAATAATGCTTTCAATAGTAATAAATTAATGAAAAAAAATATTAGTGTGGGTCAATTTAAAACATACCGCAGCCCAAAAAACACAATAGAACTAAATAAGAAGTAATTTATTGTAAAATAAAAAACTCCCTTCAGAGTTGCGATCCAAATACTTCAAACACTCTTACATTAGACTAAATTGGCCTTAAATCATCTTTAACACTTTCAAATACATATAAAAATAGGATCTTAGCTTTTATGCAAAATAATAATGCACTGGTTTTTCACCTTCTTTCATTCTTTTTACCAGATTTGTGAATATCATGAAAGGACACATTTGGCTTGAAAGCGAAGGTATTGGGAAAGGCTGCACCACCATTTTCATTGTGAAGCTGGGCATCAGTGAGGATCCTGCGCATCGGTTTCAGCACAAATTATTACCCCCAATCCGAGCAGGCCAATCCGAAGCAGATGCTTTTGGTTCAAAACCGACGCCGACGGATTTGATTCCATTGAAAAATCGGTATCAACGAAGCTTGTAGTGAGACAAAAATGAGTAATTGAAAGCAGTTGGATCTGTGCTTGTACACTCGAAAATAAAGTTGGAAGTGAAGTGCAATTAAAAGAAGCAATTTTCTGTCATTCCAGATTTCCAGATTCCAGGGGTTGAAATGAAAAATGTGAGTTGAGTATTTACAAAGTTGTTCTGGGTTTACTGAACTATTGGAATTTATTGTGGGGCAGTTTTATTGAGTGAGTATCAAATCTGGAAGTGTGGTGTTTAGTATTAACTTAAGCTTACATGGAGTTAATGTTCACTATAAAATTTGTATGACATGTTTTATCTGCTGACAGGCTAAGGAGATTGATCCCGCTGATTAATAAATCAAAATTTGATGAGAAAAAGTTGTTTTGTGCTGTGCATCCATGATGCGTATGTTTATCTTTTACATTTTTTTTTTATGAAGTTTTGGCTATAGTTGGTTGCAGATTGAAATTTATCGTATATGATTATGATTTAGTTTAAATGCATTATGTGTGAATACGAACGTATCATTTTGAAGTTGAAAGGAAGGGATCAATGAAGAGATTATTGTCGACCGTGATAGAGAGACTCGAAAATGCGAGAAAGAGGAAAATCTGAATTCCTTCCATAAGGTTGATTCCAATGAAGAAGAGGATATATCACAATGCTTTGGGATTTAATATCAAAGGAGACCGATGGATGGAGTGACTTTTGGAGGACAAGGAGACATGGGAGTGAAGGTGGACTTATCGAATTTCTAGTGAAGAATGAATGCAAATGACTTCATTGAGTTGTTGCAAACTACGGAGAAAATTTTTTAGTATAAGGAGGTGCCAACTATTAGGAGAGAAGTTTGCTGCCATAAAGTTGAAAAAGAGTCTCTTTATGGTGGAAGAATTTGAAGAGAGACGGAGAAGGTAGGCACAAAATCACTGCTAGAGGGACGATGAAGAATGAGATGCAGATGAAATACTTACACCCATAGTACTATCAAGACATGTTCTTGAAGCTCCACTACCCACAACAGAGAGTTGACAGTGGAGGAGTTCACAACAGAGCTTGAGCAACTCATGATGAAATGTGAGTTGATAGAGCCATAGAAGTGCACTATAGCCAAACTTTTAGGAGGCCTGAAGCCAACCATCAACAATTTTGTCCAACTACAATCCTATTGGTTGTTGAGAGATGTTCAGATCTTGACATTGAAGTTGAAAAGATAACAAAGTGAGAGCAGACACCCACCTCAATATAGACAACCACCCATAGCTAAAGGTATTAATAAGGGCACACTCCTGGGGAAGGTGTGAAGACTGGTCAGAGGGATGATAAAACTGATCAGAGTGAGATAAAGCTTGAGAAGAGTAGCAAACCTAACATTGTTCCATCGAAGTAGTGCTTTAAGTGACATGGATATCGACGTTTCGCCTCCAGTTGCCCTAATAGCAGAGTTATGTCCTAACCAACCAGGGTGTAGTGGAGGAAGTGAGTGAAAAGGAGGTAGAAGAAGAGCAGTGTGAGAAGTATCAACTCCATGGAGATGAGGGTGAGATGTTAGTTGTGAAGAGGGATATGCAAACTGAACCAAAGAGAGAACTTTTGGCTGAGACATATCATAAGACTCAGTATAATGGGTTAAAAAACACCTACTCATTTATGAAGGAGGGGAAACATAGTTTTTTTGCCCATCATGGAGTATGAAGGAGCTGGCACTCACAATGTAGAGGAGACCTTGATCTCACATACCACCTTTCTTCAGTTAGCATGGGAGGCCCTAGTGGCAATGGCCTTAGTCACCCTAGAGGGGATTGAGGAGGAGACTGAGTTAACAAAGATGATACAACCACTACTAGCTTTAAGATGTGATGACTGAGAGTTTACCTGAGGGACTTCCGCCACTTAGAGACATTCAACATGCTATAGAACTTATCTTTGGATCAGTGTTACTTAACAAGCCTACTTACAGATCAAAATCAGCTGAGTATGAGGAGTTGCAATAACAAATGTGGGACCTTATTGCTAGAGGGTTAGTGAGGGAGAGCTCCGATCCATGTGTTGTTCTTTCTTTGATGGTGCCTAAGATGGATTGTTTGTGGAAGATGTGTATTGATAGTCAAACTATCAATAAGATCACCATCAAGTACAAATTTTCTATAACTTGCCTGAATGATCTACTGGATCAATTACTTGGAGCTATTAGCTTTTTCAAGATTGACCTACGTAGTGGATATCACCGGATTAGAATGAAACCAATGGATAAATAGAAGATTGCTTTCAAGACTAGACATGGGTTATATGAATGGACAATCATACCCTTTGGATTGTGCACCTAGCACTTTTATGCGGATGATGAATCGGGTGTTTAGGGCATATATTGAGAAGTTCGTAGTTGTATTCTTTGATGACATCTTAGTTTACAATAAATCTGAGGAGGAGCACTTGCAGCATTTGAGGAGGGTCTTTGAGGTTCTTTGGTTAGAGGAGCAATATGCCCACCCAGAGAAATGTCACTTCATGATAACATAGGCATGATTTTTGGGTTATATTATATTTCGTGTATTCATTCAAATGGACCCTATGAAGATAGAGGCTATTGTGAGTTGGAAACCCCACATTCCTTTATAGAGCTAATGCAGTTTTTGAGGCTCGGATCCTTTTATATAAGATTTATCAGGAACTTCAACTCCATTACAACTCTCTTGACAAAGCTCTTGAAAGGAGTGAAGTTTCAATGGATAGAGGCAACACAATCCAGCTTTGACACCCTGAAGAAGAAGGTGACTCGCGTCTCATTATTAGTGCTACCAAAATTTAGCCAGTTTTTCAAGATGGAATGTGACAATTCTAATGTGGGGATTAAAGTTGTGTTGAGTCAAGGAGGGCACCTCGTAGTCATTTTCAATGAGAATTTAAGCGACTCAAGGAAGAAGCAATCAACATAAGATAAGGAGTTCTATGTTAATGTGAGAGCTCTTAGTCATTAAAGTCACTATCTATTGAATAATGAGTTTGCCTTATCACATATCATGAGGCTCTGAAGTTCTTGAACAATCAAGGCAACCTAAAGGGCAAACATGCTTCTTGGGCTGAGTTATTGGCTTAATTTTAGTTTGTGCTCAAGCACAAGACACAAAGTTAAAAATTAGTAACAGATTCCTAGAGTCATCACCACTTACTGATCATATTCATGCAAGCTAAACTTGTGGGATATTAGGTGGTGAAGGAGATGTACGAGGTTGATGAGGAATTTAGTAAGATTTGGGATCAATGTCAAGAGAAGCTTGCAAGACAGTACAACAGATTTGATGGCTACTTGTTCCATTAAAATAGGTTGTGTTCCCATATGTTCATTATGAAAGTCAATCGTGTATGAGAATCACAATGGGGGATTAACAAGTCATTTTAGTAGAGACAAGACCCTCACACCAGGGAATTTTTTTTTTGGCCTGGAATGAGCTATGTCAGACAGTACAGAGTTTGTCACCTCACCAAAATCAAGGGGCAGAACACAGGGCTATATATACCATTACTAGTAATATAAGCTCAATAGTTGGGTGTTAGTATGGATTTCCATGTGAGACTTTTGAAGACACATCAACATATGAATTCAATGATGGCAGTGGTTGACATTTTTTCAAAGATGGGTCATTTTGGTACCTTGTTAAAGAAGACTGAATGCATCATATATAACTGTCTTGTATTTTCAGGAGATAGTGAAACTACATAAGAAACCAAAGACCATTACTTCTGATAGGGATGTCAAGTTCCTGAGTTACTTTTTGGAGGGCTTTATGGGGGAAGCTTGATACTAAGTTTCAATTAGCTCAATATCTCACCCACAGACAAAAAGTCAGACAGAGGTGTTGAGCAGGAGTTGGGAAATCTTTTGAGGTGCTTTATAGGGAAGAAAATCAAAAAATGGGAATTGATTCTAGCCTAATCTCTTAAAACAATTCTGTGAGTCAAGACTATAGGGCATAACTCTTTGAGATTGTGTATGGGAGCAACTCGCTCACCCCACTTGAGTTGGCACCATTCCTAAAGAGGTTAGTATGGATGATGAGGCTAGATTACAGAAGATTTAGAGGCTATATGAGGAGGATGGGAACAAGATCAAGCAGAACGAAGTACCATGAGCAATAAACAGGAAAAAATTGACTTTTCAGGAGGGAGATATAGTGGGGATTAGACTAGAGAAAGAGAGGTTTCATGTGGGATCTTTTGGGAGACTCAAATCCAGAGCAAATTGACTTTTCAGGATCCTATAGGAGCTTAATGACACATGATTGACTTACCAGGAGATGACAACATTTTTGATACATTCAACATGGCCGACCTAGATCCATACTATGAAGAGACATAAGCTTCAATGAATGAGGTTTAAACTCCCATAATCCTAAGAGGTTGATGCAGAGCGTGGATGTCTAGGATGCTTAGACTGGTTTAGTCCATTAGAAATTGCGGGTTTTCTGGCTCTCTAGGCTTAGGGATTATCCCCCGGTTGGATTGAGACCCACTTTTAGTTATCTAAGACTATATATTTACTATTTTTGGTGTTTAGGGTTTAGTTTTTGTTGTAATTTATTTTGAGACAACCATTAATATATTTTTCCCTCTACTTGTTGTATCTAGTGGTGCTTCGATAGTATCTTGGTTTCCAGGTGGTGTTTATTCTTCCCATACTTTTACCCCAACCTTTTCCACAATTTCTCACATCCCATTCTTGTTTTGCTTGTTGCATCGCTCGAAACTACACCTCCCACCATTGTTCTTGCTGCTCACCGCTTTCCTGTTGTTGACATCATTTTTCCCATCGCTATTGCCTCCTTCCCGCTTCCTATCCAACCCCCTTGCCACCTTCTTGAAAGTCCAAACACCTAGCCAACACCACCTCCAACCTATTTTGTGTGTGTTGTTGTTTTGTTGCAATTTTAGATTTTCCTATTATTTTGTTGTAATTTCAGGTTTTGAAGTCAATACTAATCATATTTGTATTCCCTTTGAAGTGTGTTAAATTTTGGTATCACATGGTATTAAAGCACTGAAATGTTATGTGCATAAATATGAAAAATATAGGTGTAAGATATGAAAATACATAAGGATTGTGTTGTGTCATCCAATGAATTTATCATATTTCAAATGGTGCTTTGATATGTGGGGAAATTTTTTGAAGATTAATTTTAAAGGATATAAAAGTTATTGAATTTTATTTTCAGGTGGATTTTCGATAATTTATCTGTCGAAATGCCAGCTAAAAAACTACAAAATAGAATGACATAAAAACAATTAAAATATGCAAAAGTTGTGGAATATTTGAATAGTAATAGCAGGCTATTTACCGCTCATGCCTTGTGTTTACCCTTTTTATCTTTTCTAGTTTCGAAGTGGCAACTATATGTATGCCCCTTAATTGAGCATCCTTTTGTTATTCTCCCGGGTAGTGTGAGCATTTGAGTACATCCTAAAAAAAATTATTTTATTTTATAGTAAATGTGCTATTCATTTGAGCATTTTATCATGTATTTTTGATAAAAAATTAGTCTGAAACTTGTCTTAAAAATGTTAAAATAAAGATAAAAGCTCATTTTCTTAGATCATGCAAAAAACACATCATGTAAAAATAATCCGAACAAAATAATTTTATACTCGATACTCTTTTTAAAATTGTTGTGATTATAAATTTTCATACTAAAATATAAGAAAATATGGCAATATCATAAACAAATAATTATATATTTTTAATACATAACTTAAAAAGTAATATTGAAAAAATGACCCGACACTCTCTCCATTCCTCCAAGTCATTAATCTTTTGATATACTTGTCATCTTCTCTTTTTCCTCTTGTTTACTTCTCTATTGTTGCCTATACATAAAAAAAAAATATTTGATTATTTTTATCAAAATATATGAAAAACTTGTTGTTGTTTTAATGGGAGAATGACATGAGATTCATCTAGTATCAAAGATATTATATCTTCATTAGCTTAGTGCATGATAATCAAGATCTTCACAAGTTCCAAGCTAATCTTAGGTTGGTTGATTAATAACATTAAGATTCAAAATAAATGGATATAATCATATGGAATAACCCTTGTTGAGCAACTCTTATTATGACTATTATTCAAAATATCATATTAAATGCTAACTAATTTATTATGCATGTTATTTCATTTCTTTTTATGATGGGCTATAACTAACATTTCAAAAAATTTTAATACATGTAAATACAAAAAAAAATGGATATAAGATAAAAAAAGCACTTTACATGAAAATATTAAATATCTTGATTTAGCATAAAAAATAAAGAATCCAATTAAATATAACAATCCAACATGAATCTTCAAAAATGTTTATGAATCTAGAGAAAACCTATAAATTTACTAAAAAGTTTTCTATCTACCTAAAAGTGAATCTATAAAAAATACATAGATCCATGAAATGAAATCTATATTAACAAAAAAGTTATATTCCTCTTAAATTTTCACTATAAAAATCTATTTATTACTTAATTGTTTCGCATAAAAAAGCCACTATATGATTGAGTTCTTTATAACTCTAATTAGAGTATAATTTTATTTTAGTATTTGAAATTTTATTCTCCATATTTGAAACAAATTTTCTTATTGAAGATAGATTAAATCTATTATGAATATAAAACATGTGCTATTGCATTAGCAACTTTGGCCATCACTTTAAATAGATCAATATATATAGGATTTAGTTATCCTTTCTTAGTGAACATGTTCACTCTCTTTAATAAATTAACTTTAATTATCATAAATGCACCCAAAAAAATTTTATTGCAAGATGTTCAAGATTATAATACTTTTTTTGCTTATCATGAATTGTGTTCACTCTATTTTGATTGATATAATCTTCTTTGTAGCATTGTTGATGAATTCAGACATTTGTCATCCAACTTCTATACAAAAATAATACCTCTGATATTCTAAGACTTTATATGATGTCATTCTTATACTAGATTAAAAATTACTACTATAAGCAAATTCAACCAATGGAATATGCTCCTTTCAACTTCTTCCAATATTTGAAATGGGAGAACTCAATGCTTCCTCCAGTATCTAAGTTTATAGTCCATCCACTTGTGGGCAAAAGGATGAACTAAAATTCAGTTTCAAGCCCAAATCGTCTTGTACAACATTTACACAATATAGAAGTAAAACTTCTATTGAACTTAGATACATTAACTTTGGGTATGTCATCCAATATAATAATCTCTTTAATTTATAACTATACCAATCGATCTATTAGGTAAATTTATCTCATAGTAACAAATGTGTTGTTTTTTATAAATTGATCAACCATTACCCGCAAAATAACTTGGCTTTGTCTTGACCCAAGAAACTCTAAAAAAAAATCCATGATAATTTTTGTCCACTTTTACCCCGGAATAGATAAACGTTGGAATAAACTACTACTCTATTGTTGTTCCACTTTTATCACTTAATAAGTTTCACAGACAAATTTTGTTACTTCTTTTTTTATCTTGATAATCAAATTATTTATTTTAAATCATAATAGATCTTATTGCTCCTAGAATAAATAATATCATTAGAGAAATAAATTTTATTTAAAATTTCTCTTCTTAATTATAAACAACTAGAAACCCACAATCTAACTCTATAAATTAATATTTCTATTAAATGAATGCACATACAAGAAAAAGGACCGAAACATTAGCAATGATTTTATGCATCAAGTTCTATATATTTTTATGAATAATGATATATAGTCAAATAAATCTATAATGATAAAAAAAAAATTATTTAAGTGGTTACATGACATATAACAATCTTTAAAAATAGGTGCGAGTTATCAAATAAATTAAGGCAAAAAAATATTATAAAGCCTCATAATGCTTAGAACCATATTAGACAAGTGTAGCATTTCTCAATAATTCACCATGGGTTACTAACACAATTATAAAAATAATTGATTTTATATCTCATAATAGCAAAAAATTGAAAAATATGCCTACTACTACGAGGTCAATAGGCAAGTGAGCAATCACATAAACATGCTCAAACCTTACTCTAACCATTACCAAAACTTGAATTATATCCAAACATTGCTCAAACTTACAATTTTCCTCAAATCATACTTGAATCATTGTTTGAATAAATTTAATCTTCAATAAGCATTCCATGGTCAGGTGATGTAGCTTCTTGTGAAATGAAATTTTAAACAAATTTCCTCAAGAGAACAAACAACAAACATACTTCTTCAATTCTCACTACTACAAGACACATTAGATCAAATTTCCATATTCTTACAATAAGACTCTCAACATTTTAAGTTCAAACTACCCTATTGAAATTGATACAAGAAAAATAATGATAGATTTCATTTTTGGTTTCAATATCTTTGTTGTATGCAAATGATACAAAATTTTCTAATCAATAGGATTTAGCCATTGTGCCTTCAACAACCATTAAGCTTAACAATACATTTCTAGATGATATTTTCATTTGTTTGGAATACAATAATGGTTGTTTAGAAAAGCCTACAATAATGTAACTAGACTTGTGAGCACTATGATGAAGCCAAAATTTAAGTTGTTAAATTTTCCAAACATAACTCTCTTTCTTGTGAATAATCTCTTTAGTTTTACCTATTATAGCATAAGATGAGGGGTGGTTGATGAAGATAACTAAGCAAATCAATTTTTGTAAATTTCATACATGATTTTAAATACATGTCAAGTGATTAATGACAATATATGAAAGTCTTAAGTTCTAGATTAGCTATGCAAAGGAACAGAAGAGCCATTTGATATCATTTTAATTTTTTATTAGAGTTATTTACATGCATACTGCCCAATTCCCATTTATTTATTACATCTAAAAACCCAAAATTTACCTTTTAGATTTATACATCTTTTATGTCACATAAGAAAATATCACCATTTTGATTTCTAAAAATTGAAATACACCTTTTTGTGCATATGCAAAGTGGCGTATCTGTAAATATTACATGTAAACTCCATTAATATGTCGTCACGTGTGCTACATTGCAATGGTTATTAAAGTGAAACCGCAAAGGTTATTGGGGGATTATTAAAGAGTTATTGTAAGGGGTTATTGAAGTGAAACTACATAAATTATTGAGGGTTGAAGTGGAACAACAGAGGTTATTGGGTGGTTATTGTAGGGTTATTGCGGCGTTATTCGAGTTAATACCCCAATAACCCTCCCAATAACATCTACGGTTCCACTTAAATATTTTTTTAGGTGAGCCAAATATAGCACACATGACGACATATTACTAGAGTCCACATGTAGAGCTGCATCCGGACTACGCATGGAAAAAATTTTCAGAAGAGAGAGGACCATAAAACCAATTGCTGAAACATGAAACACAGTTATAATAATAATATTTATTATTATTATTATTATTATATTATATTCTTTTAAAACAGAAGGAAACGTAACTAGTTTCTCGTTAGACAAAAATGCTACATATCATAAGATCAAAAACATTAAAAAAAGAAACAATTTCAAAATGTTAGAAACTATTTGTTCAGCAAGATTACTTTCTTTAGTAAATAAAGAGAAATTCCCATTCGATTTTACCGCAGCAGATCCTCTCCTTCCTCCGGGTTCCCCAACAATAGAACTCAGTCCAGGTGTTCCATCTATTCATGAGCACAAAGAGCATTAATATACAATAGGAAAACTTACACATGCCACACAATTCCTTTGTATTTACATATCTAACAACTAAATTTTGATATTTACATTTATAATATTTTGCTGTCATAAAATTAGGCATGAAAACGTATTTTTCACTTTTAGTAAGTTAATGATAATGGTATTTTTTATATAATATTAAAGATAATAAGTGTACTGCAAGTAAATATGAACGTCTAGGCGAGATATGTAAATACATAACAATTTTGTGGTATGTATGTAAATGCCTCTATACATTAACGTGCAGAGATTCTCCAGAATAATCCAGAAATACACCAAAGTTTGGATTGGAGAAGAAACTAGCAGAAAAGAACAAGGGCAAAACGCCAGAATGGTTTTTGTAGAAAATAAATTCATCTTTATAGAATTCAGCGAAAAATACTATATATTAACACTTGGAAGGACAAATAAATTCTCTATTTATACTCTTCTGGTACGTATGGAAGTTCCCAAGCTTATGCGGTGTCTTATTGTACATGGAAACTCATAAGAGAAAGTACTGAACATGTTGGGACAAGTCCAAAAAAGAAAATAAAATTGATAAGAGGGGACAAATATAATGACAATATGTTTGAATATTTTTTGTACTTTTTATACCGTTTTTCTAGAGGAATTTGAATCCTCCCTCTCTCCTTGAAAGTAGATTATGCTTTAATTTGCATTTCTTTAGATTTTTGTTTAGGTGCTATTAAGATAATTATGCTTGTTAATATTTGCAACAGGAAGATTTAATGTTTGTTTAGTTGACTTCAAGAGAACTAATAAAATTATTCATATTGTTAACAACACGTTGCATTTAATAAATAAGAAACTAAAAGATATTTATTTATGATGTCACACTTCAATATAATTAAACTAATCATTTGTAATTTAAATTTTGTGGGTTATCTCTATGAATGATATATTTTAATATTTTGACTGTTTTATATAGTAGAATGGGTATATATATCTATAGAGAGAGAGAGAGAGAGAGAGAGAAAGAAAGAGAGAGAGAGAGAGAGAGAGAGAGAGAGAGCTATAGGTTAATATCAAGAAGAGTAAAGAGAGTTTATGTGAAAAAAAGATGGCATAAAATGAAAAGTTGATAGACAAATCTGTGAAGTAAATATCTCTATAAGGAATAAAAGAAGGACCAAACTCTGTTTAATTCTATCTTAATGCCCATTTTTATTGATTAGATAATTGTTTCATTTTCCTACACAATAAATGGAATTATTTTTTATTTAAAGTAAAAGAAATCTACTACTCTAAGCAGCCGCAATTATACTAGTTCACACATAATAACATCATTATGATCAGTCTTATCCACCTATTTTGGGAAGGCTCAATGAATCCTTCTTAGCGTTGCATGTATAGTTAACTTCGATTAATAAAAGCACTTATTTTCAACTATTCTAAATTATTTTACGCACACCTAAACCAGTTATCTTAACTGTTAAAGAAGGCAACTTGTCACTGTGTCCATAATACAATACCATCTAACACTTGTATTTCCTAGTTTTACCGCAACATCTATATTATAATTTTCATTTTGTTAAATCGAGTTATAAATGCACTAAATTAAGTGTTAGAATGTCGATAAACTCAGATAATATTGAAGCTATAACATGGCACTCATTCCTTACGAATTCACATATCTAACATCTAAACTTTGCTTTTTACATTTATCCCACCCAAATTTCCTATCACATCAAAAATATCACCAATTTAATTTTTTAAAATAATATACACTTTTCACGCCTAAGTAAGGTGGAATGCATGTAAAAATTGAAGTATAAGTGTTAGATACGTAAATACATAGGAATTGAGTGGAATGAATGTAAATCTTCCGAAAAATATTTTAAAAATTTATGATCCAAAAAATAGTTTCTGTTATAAAATGATAAATCAACCGATCCATTAGATTCTATCCTTTTATTATTATTATTTAATAGTTCGTTACATCGAAATGTAAATATGACATCATCTGAATCCAATGCATCCGCACATGAGGGACGAAACATTGGCGCTTAAAATGGAGCACCCAGCCATAAACTCTCTAACTAATTCATCAGCTTGAGGACTCAAATTATCTAATAACAACAACAACAACAACAACAAAGTTTTAATCCCACTACGTGGGGAAACTCAAATTATCTAATAGCTAGTGAGAATTAGGGAATAACAAATAGTTTTAAATAATGGAGTAAAACCATCTCATACTGCTCAAAGAGATAATTTCTAATCATGGCTTTAAATATGGTTGGCGGCCAAGTAGGTTGCTACATAAATACTCTAGCAGTTGACTTTATATGTTATGTTTTGGAAAATAAATATATATAGCTTTTAGAACATATAGGATAAGTAATTAATTGTTAAACAGGGCAACTTCATGGAATGAAGAAGGGACTCGGTAGCAGAATTGTTCTAGCAAAAAGTTTGAATAAGACAATGACCAAAATCATTAGAAAAGGAAATTCAAAATGAACAGACAGCATACCTTCCAAAGGCCATCATTTAGATAGTGCATGTTGTCGACACCGATTCCTTTGTTAATGGCCCTTCTGCAGAAATAATGAAATTATCATTTTAGAGTAACTTGATGAAACCTTAGTAAAAACCAAACCACCCTTGATGGCAAAGATAACAAACCAAATTTAGATGTAATCAACAAAATAGCCATCAGCAACAATAAAGTACATAAAAATATTTAGTGTCTGCTGGATATGTTGTCTATTGTATGAGTTTATATAAACAAGTTTGCTCAGTTATACAGATCCGCAGACATTCTGCAGACCACTGCCATATTAAGTGGAGCTCAAAGCAGGATCGTACCATGCTTGAGTTGGAACAGACGCTAATGTAAAATAAACAAACAAAATACATAGCAACCAGCATCCTATTTTATTTAAAAAGGAGAATCCAGTACCATGTTTATTCGAAAGTTGTGAACGCTATATAACTTAAATTATCCAAAAAAAAGAACATAAACATAATAATAATAATAATAATAATAATAATAATGGCACACATCTAACATGGAAAAATTGCGCAAAAATTTCAAAGGATGCAAGATGACTAAATTAAAGGTACTTGCATGAGAAAAGAACAGAGAATGGAAGGTTGCCGATAAATCATTCTGCATTGGTGCAGAGCATGTAGAGTAACAGCATGACATGATAAAGAAACACGATGCACGTGTTTTGCTAATCACTTCCGCTTAATAGACGAGCAATGTATTGCTTCATTTTTCTTTAAATTGCACTTATGATGTCACAACTTGGTCTAGGGTTTGAAATTAACTGAAACGGGAACAGATGGTCCGACGGTGAGAGTGAAGTTTTCAATATTTATTTACTATATAATAGATGAAAGCCATTTATCAATTTAAACTAAAACAATAAAATTACTAGTTGTCCGCATCTTTTATAAACATTATTAATTCTATCGTTCATCTTTTCAATCACCAAATTAACCTGAAAAGTTAGTTTAAAATAACAATGAGCTGAACAAGCCATACTCATATTCTAAAACTACAACAATACAAGAATGCATGTCAGTTAAACTTGTAATAATCAATGTTAACATTTAATATATTATAAATAAATCTTATTATATCAATAGCATATCAATATCATTCTATATCGGTACAATCGTAACAAGAGCACAGTTTAAAAATTGTACCACATAAGATACTTTAATATCAATATCCTTTATTATTTACATACACATATATTTTAGTGTTCCCCCACTAGTACTATCAAGAGGTGACTCAATCATTGTAAATCAAGCACATATAAACATCAAATAAAAATATAACTTTTTAAAAATAAATATTCATTTCTCATTTGCATAGAAGTTAATGTAGTTATAAATCATTCAATATTTATGATAATTTAAATATTGTTGTACACATATATCATTCATTACGAACAAAGATTCACTAGAATTGAAAAATTCTTAGTTTGCGGTAATTTTGATAGTACTAGTCAATGCATTTGGTCTAGAAGAAACAAAATATCACTATAATACAATAAGATGAGTACTTATCTAGATGTCGATTAATTTGCAATTTGATTTGCCTTGAATTTATGTTAACCTCAAAACTTTTTAAAATTTAAGCCAACAATAAACATGAGTATAAAAATTAACTTATTATTTAAAACATTTACTTTATATTATTTAAGTGTTAATTTTTTTTTATTATTATATCTTGTATAATCATAAATATATTATAAGTATAAAATTCTTATTAAATATTTTAATTAAACTTATTAAAAGTCACTTACTCCTATTCGATCGAAGCCCTAATTGTGTGCAGACGTTTCTTTTTGCGATTGAATCACTCTCTCCTCCCCTACAGTTGACTCCCCCTCGCATGAGTCTAGACGTCGACGCATCCCTCCTTCATATGACAACAGCGTATACGCACTCAGAAGAGCTTCTTCCCGCAACGTCGACCCCTTCGACCGACGCCTACTCTCTTTCCCATTGTTTGACATCGACACTGATACTTCCTCATGCCTTCTAATCGTCTGCTAGGATGTCTCCCGCGCCATTCTCTCCTTCGCAAGCTGCTCTACTCCAAGGTAAGTGAAGTTCAGATAGGTCGCTTCGTTTTATAGGCGAACTCTTCGTGAAGGCCTCCAATCCCATCGTTTCAAATTCCCGACTATTTGATTCATTTCCAACTTCTTCGGCTATCCAACCCTCTCAATTCATCTCCCCTTTGCTCGATTCCTCGCTTCCATTTCTTCAATTTTCTCTGTTCCTCTCCCTCGGTTATAGAAACATAACATTACATTTGATAACATCAGTTTTGATTGAGATTATTGTTTTTTTAATTAAAATGAACAGGACAATAATAATAAATAAGATAGATATATGACAGTTAAATTTTATCACTGATTAGCAAATTATTAGAATTTAATTAATAGGCTATACATATTAAGTTATGAGAATCAACCACGAGATAACTAATTAATTAATAGAATTTATTAATTAGTGAATTATTTCGGCTAACAAAATTTAACTTAAATTTTAATTCAATGCATAGATATTTTATGAGGATTAATTATGATAACTAAGCTTGGAATAAATAATAAGCTCATAACCGACCAAAAAATGAATAACTAACTACATATCAAGGTTAAATAGGAATAAAATGAGGATTTGTTTACGATAATTAAATTTTCAATTGTATTGAACTAAGATCTAGATAACAAATTCATTTCGTAATGGTGGAAGATTTGTTATGGTGTCATGAATTGATTGCTGCTCCTTTTCCATATTTTTAATTAACTTTGTCAGATCTCATCATTTTAACAAAAATACAATTCAACCTTTCGTTAAAAAATTATTTTTATACAAGGGATACTTAATTAACTAGTTAGAATTTTAATTAAAATAATTACTTAAAGATAAAATAATTAAAAATATTAATTATAATTTAAAGTGAATAATTATGTAATTGTTGCGTGCTGGAAAATTCGCGGCGATAGAGTAGTGATTTATGGTCTTAGTGTTATATTGAAATTCAGCGCGCACACACACAAGGATAAGAAAACATTGCTATGGGAGACATCAAAATTTTTAAATGGAAAAAACTTAAAAAGAAAAAAAAAATCACAGGACCTAACTTAGTTCAAATAATTCTACCATATATTTGAAAATATAAGGGTGCGCTCTTCTCTCATAATAGGGAGAACGTTAAAATTTTACACTAAAACTACATCTGTTTTTATTAAGTTAAAAAAAGACTAGTGCTGGGAAATTCAATAACAGTCGTAATCTAGCAACAATGGTTATAAGTATTGGTCGCCGGCGGCTGGTGGTCAATAGTGGAAAATGGTCGATAGTGGTCAGTGGCTACGGAAACAGGTGGTCGACGATGGCTAGCGGTTACGAAGGCTGGTGGTATTCACTGGATCTTCTAGTCACAGCCCAGTCAAGGACTTGAAATTAACCAAGGCGGGAACAGACGATCGAACATTGAAATTAATTTTTTTATTATTTTGTTTCTATCATTAACAATTTATTAACCATATATTAATTGAAAGAGCCGCTAAAAGAAACAATTAAATTAACCAAATAAAAAGTTAACTTTCAGCTTGCTAAAACCTCGTTTTCTGTAAACATAATCTACCCATAATATTCATTTTAATAAAAAACTTAAAAGTGAAAAATTTTAAAACAACATAATGAGTTATCTAAGGTAAACTAGAAGCAATCAATCTTATAAAGTATAATAACTCAAAGAAAAAAATATAAAATGTATGACAACCTTTCATATTTAACTATAAAAAATCTTATAATTATCTAATGTAAGTGTTCATGACATTTATTCAATGAAAACAAGTTAAACTTTAATATGCATTAATTTTAACTGTAGCTTTCAAAGTTTAATTTTTAACTTTACTTTTATTTCATGCTATTAACGTTTACATTTGCCTTGGGAGCAGCGTCAAAACATAATCTAACACACCTCTAATTAATATTATCACATCGGCACAACGATTCATGATGTAATTTACACGATTGTCTGAGATGGAAAATTATCTACTCATCCCTAGCCGATATTCTCCAGTCAGCACAGTTGTTCATGATCTAAAAATCACAATTTTTTTGGGTGGTAGGAAAAAATCTACGTGCGTGGGTACATTCAAATCCCCTGCATGAATCGTAAGAGGGTGAACTTCTCTTAACATGCACATATAAACATTCATATATACAATATATTATTCTTTATAAAATAAATTCTTTTTATATACGACAACTTATATTTATCTACCAAACATAATACAACTCTAATAGAATCTAAGGTCATTATGACACTACCTAGGCGAATAACTTGGTGTAAAGCGGTAGGTGTCTAGGTGCTTGCCTCAATGATTCAAATATATTTGTATTATTTTCATGCTTATACATGGCCATTATAAGAAGGAGAGCTACAAATATACTAATGGGGATGAGTATAGGCAATGAAAAAGATGAAATATATGGTCATGAATATATGATTACAGTATTGCATTTGCTTGTTTAAGCTTGAAGCATAACTTCTGGGACACGGAATGCTATGTTTTGGAAAAGCTAATTGGCTTGGTTTGTTAATTTGATATTTGGAATAATACAAGCTTGAAACTATGTATTTTTGCCTGGTATACTTTAAATATTATATTATGATAATTATCATTTTATACTCTGTAAAGATATTTCTCAAAATTAACATAGATGAAATTTTTTTAATGCCTCGTTTTGCTTGGGCTAACAGCTACGCTAATGCCAAGCATCTCAGAATTGGGAAGTTTTCTCATCTTAAAGGAATCTAGAACCTTTACACTGAAGCACATTCATGTCTTCATTTCCATAACAGTTGAAGTGTTCTGCCCTTTAAACACACACAGAACAAACACTTCTAAGAAGCAATGGCTTTTACAGAAAAACTAAAACTTCAAAAGAGTATACTGCATAACTTGAATTATGAAAATCTTTTGAACATGACAACCACTTCGTATATGCTATTGAAAATTGGAAATGCCGCTATACGAATAAGAACGCCAACATCAACATTCACAACTAAGGTAAATGTGCTACTTACATGTTTTTTGCAGACATTTTGGTGAAACCAATAGCCAGAGCATGCTGTTTTCCCTCGGCCATTATGGCCTGAAACAGATTAAAAGCAAATAAGTTAAATTCATCCATTAGTCATTACAAGCATGTACCTTGCAAGGATTTCATCACATTACAAAGCAAATTCTTAATTATGCACTAGCAAAAGGATCGTGACAACATCTCTGTTACAGAATATAATCTTTTTAATGCCGGAGTTTAACCAACCATCAATAGAGAAAGCAAATATTATTACTGAAATCAAATAGGACCTTACTGCCACACAACTGAAATAGGAAATAACAACACACACAACGAGTATCTTGCAACTAGGGTGAATCGAAGGTGGTGGTGGTGGCCGATGAGGATTCCGGAAAGGTGGCGGCAAAGTGAGAAAGCAAAGAATGTGGGTGGATATGGCAACGGAACAGCAGGCGGCAGCGAAGAGATTGGGGGCTGGACAGAAAGGAAAACAGCGGGGTTGAGGGTTTTCCAGGTGACACCAGCTAAGCGTGCCGGAACAACAAAACAACAGCAATAGTTATGCGGCCTTGGGATGGCAGTAGGGTGGAACTCTGGTTCTGGCAGGTAGCGGCATGGTGGTAAGGAGGAGCAAGGGCTTTGGAATGCGGCAACAAGGTGGAATGCAGGGTTTAGACGGCTGGAACTGCAGTTGACAGCAACAAGTGATGTCCAGAGCGGCCTGCAGAAATGAAGTCGTAATTGGGCGAGATGTGGGGAGGATGGTGAGGGGAACCATGTAAGTAATCACCACATCGAGAGTAAGATACAGTCGGAGCAACACTCGGACCCTCAGATACAGCCCTAGATGAGAAACAAAGACATCGTTGGTTGCCTCGAAAAAAAGCAAGACACAATTGACTTTCAAACCATAATACAACACATATATAGGAAATAACTAAAAAGTAATGAAAGATAGTAAAAAAGAAAATGTAAAATGGAAGAAAGGCCCACGACATGACTCTATTGCGATCGTGGAAGGACTTGCGGTTCCGCGGTTCGGAACTTGACGTTCCGTGTCATTCTCCAAAGGTTGGGGGTGCTTCAACCTTATCCGTCAAAGCTTCTATCTCATAGTATTGTGCCAGGTCATCCACCATGAATGTATTGTGATTTTAACTTCCCGATACGTCAATCATGTATGCATTATCGTTCCAAAGCACATCCTGATATAATAAGTATACATTCTTTTTTTTGGCATATCCTGAGATGGAGCTGCATATAGACGTATATTCTCACAAGCCAAATCTTGAGCAATTGAATCTATAATCTGCTTCTCCAACTTCTTGTACTCAGTTGACTGTATCTGATAAACAAATTTGTTATCAGGAATCAACTCAGAAATGAAATATATGACAGGCTAGACCACACTGAAGTGCAACCACTAAGGAGAGGTTTTTTCTTCTCTGAAAAGACTTGGATCTCACTGTAGAATGTTCTTTCCCACAAGGATCCTAAGGCGATTTTCAAAGATGCGGTTCATCCCCCCGATATAACCATCTACTATGAGTGTATTGTTGAATTGAATTTAATACTCAAACTACTCTATATAGCCTTTAACAAATATTTCAAAAATTGCTCATCTCTGACATGTTGAACTTTTCTCATAGGCCCGACTTGAATCACTGACATTTCTTTCTTTTCAGGTGAAAGTTGAGACTCCTTTCTCAAGAATTCATTCTTCTCCTGTGTCAATGCCCATTTCTTCCACTGTTTCTTGCTCAGTAAAAGATTATTCTTCTGTCTGATTCGATATGCCCAAATTTGTGGCACTTGAAACACTTACTAGCTAAGACGGATTTGGGAATGATGGTTGGCACCATCTATTCTCCACTTTGAATTAATTTATCTTCACGCGGTGTCGTCTTGGATATTTTATTGGGTTTACTCTTGCTAGATCCTGGGATTGAACTTTGAATGTAAGATGTGACAGTTATATAGTTACGATTTTTGTCCACCTCCAAAACTAGAATCTGAACATCGAGTAGAGACCAAGATGGCTGCAGTTTCACTAAATTCGTAATAGATGACCTCAATCTTCCACTACACCTCGCTACTGTGTGCACTTCCAGCTCCACCAACGCACATTTTAACATGAGTTGGTAAAATTCATCTGTTTACTCTACAAAAGCGTCTCTCCGCATAAATTATGAATCTTTATGAACATATCCTTTTGGTAATGTGGGGGAAGATATTTGCACTGCATCTCCTTTTTCATCTTGAACCAAGTAGTGATTGTCTTTTCACTCACGTTGGCGTAGGTGCTTCAATTTTTTTCACCACAACAACAGACTCTTCCTTAACTTGATAACAACTAGCTTTACCATTTTATATGGTGGAATATCCTTATATTCAAAGACCTATTCTACTGTCTGGAGCCACTTGATGAATTCTTCTAGATCCTCAAGAATGTCAAAACGAGGTAAATCCACATGTGCTTCCACTACGCCACTCTAATATATTATGTCAAATCTTTGGGGTGGTGGTTCTTCATCCCTGAAATTTGTCTGGTGAAAAATATTCACTCCATTCTTTCGATTCGACAAATCTCCGTTGTGTTTACAGGTGATCTCTCCAACAGTTGGAAGATTTTCAGCTGCACCTCTTCCAAGGTAAGTTCTTAAACATCTCGTGGATTTTTCATAAACAACATTATGTCATTTCCTTCCCGATCTCTGACAATGGTCTCTTTGGTGGAGTGATTAGAGTTTAGGTTTGAGAGGTGAAATGGGGTATATGGGTGGGATTTAGGGTGTGAAAAAATTTTTGGGTGGACGGTTTTGAAAATTCAGCAAGGGGTGTGGGATTTCAATAACTTAAGATAGAACTCGGGTCATGCTAATTCTGATACCAAATAATACCGGAATTTAATCAAACAATAATAACGAAAACAAATATTATTACCGAAATTAAATAGGAACTTACAACCAGACAATTAAAACAAGAAATAACAACACACGCGACTAGGGTGAATTGAAGGTGATGGTGGTGGTTGTTAGGGGGTCCGGAAAGGTGGCGTCAAGGTGGGAAAGCGGAGCAAGCAGACGAATATGACAATGGAGCAGCAAGTCCTTGTTGTCTTGAGCGGCAACAAGGAGGTCGGGGGATGGAAAGCAAGGAAAACAACAAGTTGAGGGGGGTTCGGAGTGATGGCAAAGAAGCGGGAGGGCCAGGACAGCCGGACAACAACAATACCTATGTTGTCATGAGGTGGCACCAAGATGCAACTTTAGTTCTGGAAGGTGGCGAAAAGGTGGAAGGGGGGAGTGTGGGGTTTGGAATGCGGCAACAAGGTGAAATGCTGGGTTCGAATGGCGGAAACTACAACGTTGTGCATAACGACCTACGACAATGAAGGGGCGGATGGGATAAATGTTGGGAAGATGGCAAAGGGAGCAAAAAGATATCACTACCTTGGAACATAAATACAACCAAAGCACCACTTGGACCCTCAAATACAATCATAGATGAGAAACGAAGATGCTAGCGACAGCCTCAAACAAAAACATGACAAAATTAATTTTCAAACCCTAATACAACACATATATAGATGAATGAAAGATAATAGGAAAGAAAGCAGAAAAGGAAAGACAGGCTAGCGGCATGGCTCTACCGCGATTGCAGAAAGACCCATGGTTACGCGATCGTTCAACAGTCCGGAACCTTACGATCCACGTCACTTTGTCAGCTTAGAACTTCATTAAAGCATGACATCATATGGTCAATCTTTCAAAAGGATATATAAAAGTATCCATTAATATAATATAAAAAAACTCATCCCATTTTGGGGAAAAAATGAATGTGTACTAGTGATGCTGTAAAAAGTAACGGAAAGTAGAAAATGGTTCCATCTTCAAACACACATTAGCAATGTATTGATCATATCCTATGTATCTAGCAACCATGGATAATAAAATTATAGTGTTTCACAAATTGAAACGGTAGTAATATTATAAATAGCTTAACTTTGCAACCCAAAAATAGATAAATAAATAAATTAAACAAGAGAGCGAGTTCTTTTTTTCAAGGGAAATAACATATCCCTAAAATAGTATATTAATAAAAGACGCATGACAAGTTTGAGAGAAATATAGAAAAGGACAAATGTTTTGGTATAAGAGACAAGGGAGAATACTCCTCACTTTTTTAAAAGAAATAATAACAGAGTGGAAGAATAGAGCTTGAAATCAAGACCATAAGGATAGAAGTAAAGGTAGGAACCGATTGGCCAAGATCCGGTTCTAAAGAAGAAGAATAGGTTGGGACCTTGTCCCACTATCTTAGATGGAAAAGGCATTGGATAGAGAATAGGACAAGCAAGTTGGCATATGTTGGTGATGGGTTTCCTCTTCCTTTCTCTAGTCACCATATTTTTCCCTATTGTTATTACACCATCTATCTTCCAATTTCATAAAGAAGACAATTTCCAATAAGACCTTGTTGCTTGCGGAGCTTGTTGGACTTCGGACATTGCTTTAAAATAGTTGAACTTCGGTAAAACCTAAAGCTGTTCTCTATTATTGATTATATGTGCAATTAAGCTTAAAATAATATAGTTTAGCTCTTGATTGGGTATTTAGCATTAATATAGTTTAATTTAAATACTGAATAACAAGTTTCATATTTGGTTTAAGATAGTACACCTATAATAACTCCTCAATTGGCAAAATTAGGAATAAAACTTCTTAGTTGAGTATTTAGGCAAACAGGAGAATTTAGTTATTTATAATAAAGTTTCATATGAATACAAAGATAGAATGATAATCTAAACTTTTAGCGATTACAACGTAGTTAAATAAAATGTAAATGCTTTTCACGCTTTATAATCATGTTGTGTCATTAAAAATGGATGGCTTGATAACAACTTCAAATCATAATTTGAGGGTGAATCTTCTTTTGAGGAGAGCTAAGTTAAAAAAATTCCTAAAATTATCAAGAGGAATCTTCTCTACACATGCTTATGAGAGAAAAAAATCAAACTAATTAGTGAGCTAATGTATGAATATGGTTTGGGTTAAGAATTTTATCAAATTCCTTGATTCTAGAAAAGATCAAATGCTTAATTATGATGAGGGTATTTCTGCTTAATATTGAGAATTTATGCCATTTATTTGCAGATTTTGTATGTTGTTCCTGACCTAAGAATTTTTATTTTAGTTTAAAGGATATTGACATAGTATCAGTTGGGAGGACAAGCAGGATTCTCTTCAGCTTTTACAGTAAATAGTCCTAGACTTTATAAGAGAAACTTCCTTTCAACATTGTGTGTTTGTTCTTCAAGTTTGATTCATTATTTCTATATATGCAAGAAAAAATTTCCAAAAATATATATCTTTACCTCTATACGCTTATCCGGAGTTGCCCAAATTGTTTATCAGCTACTTTAAAACATTGGTCATTTATTATTGAGAATAATTGAAGGCATCCTCATTTCTTACCGAAATGTAAAATTGCTATGTTAATATTTTGGTTTGCTCAAGCATAGCCGACATGACCCTACAAGTTGGATCAATGAATCCCTAGTGAACCTGACAGGTTTAATACCAAAGCCAACAAGCTCACATCAGAGAAAGATTTCACTGGAAATGAAGATCTACTCAAAGCAAGCCAAGTCTGAGCATGCCTATTGATTGTTGTCACATTGATTTATGCAAATTGAGAATGAATGAATGAATGATAGTATCCTACTGATACATCTATTATGTTATTTCATATGCTGCATGATATTGCTCTAAATAGATCATTATTATGATTCATTATGTTATTATGAATGCATACTTACAGTGTGTTTTGCATTTGTTCATACAACTATTAATTCCTTAAGTTTGACAATTCTCATTGCTGCGCATTCATATATAGCAAATTAATATTGATGAGTAACACTAGCTCATTGATTTTTTTTGTTTCTTCAGTTATTATGTTTGGCGCAAACTTTAAAGTCAAGCCTTCATATGTTCGTATTTATCAGATAAGGAAATTCTTTTGCAGAGGGGCACTTCTATGTAATGCAAATGACAGTGTCGAAGGATTGGTTTACTAGGTGTAGGGCGGCGAGAGCGATTTCAGGAAAATTCTGACTTCTTCCACTACCAAGCGCACAAAGCATATTTGAGGGGCTTAGATCTCTTCTACAACGAAATGTTTGCCAAAGTGTTTTATTCCATTTTGACAACATGCGATGTAGATTTTAAGGTTTTATCTACCTTACTTTTGCTTCAACAGTTTGATCTGTATTGTGGAAACTGCCAAAGTTTTCAGACCAACTGGATGGATTAAGGCAATTATAAAGTAAATAACATATTTAGCCTAACTTTGCCTCATTGTAGTAGCTAAATATAAAAAATGTAAGTTTCACTGGATATCCTTGGAGCTTGGATAATACCACTGGGGTTTCCTCTTGCACGTCATCATCCAATGCACCACCGGGAGATGTAAGACCAGGGCACATTATATTAGCACCAGAAAGTACAAACTTTACAGCACCTCTATCGACTTGTAGCTTCTTCATTATATTGGGATCTGTGACGAAGATAGCACCACCATAAGTTAAGTACATTACAAAAACTATAATACACTTTTAACTTCTTATATTTAAATCAAATATCAAACAACAAACACTAATTAAGCGAGTACATATAGAGCATCAAGGGTTCAGAACATGTTTTGTATAAATGACTAAAAGAACAAATCTGAAAATTTGATTTCTAAATGCATGAAAATTAATTAGCTTAGGAATATGATTTTTTTTTTCTTTCTTTTGGCGTTCCTGTTAAAACAACAAAAAGCTGCTCTATTATGATGAGATTTCCACGAGGGAGAAGGAAAAAAAACTAAACAGAAATTTCAATCAACATTTTTATTGAAGATAAAGAAATTAAAAGAAATATGTGCGTTGAGTTAATACTTTACATTGATGAAGAAGCCTCAAAGTTGGCATGTAAGGACCGTCCCTAATGTTGAAGAATAAAGGCACGTTGTTCACCAAGACAAGATTCAAATGGTTTTGACTAAAAAAAAAATAGAAAAGAAAAAGTTAGTCTCCTCAGTATCAAGTCAATTAGTAAGACTAGCTACTAGGTAGAGACGACCAAACTCAAACTTATTAGGATTGAACATTGCTCAGAAAATTGAATTCAATGAGCAGAGCAAAAAAACAGATGCGCTTTAACAATGACTAGCAAGAAATAAATTGACCTCCTTTAACGATCTTTCTCTAAGAAAATCAAGGTTCAAAGATGTTTATTATTTTCAAAACTCCAACAAAAAGTGAGTGTTAGAGTTCAGTGGTTACGCCATTTGGGTAGTTAATCTTCAAGGAAGTAGTTTGTCTCCTAGGGTTGCCTACTTTATTATTAAGAAAATCACAGTAGAGCCCTTAGACAGCTTTTAATTATCACTGCAATAAGCAAACATACAAATCATCTTTGTAATGCATAACTTGCTTAACATTTGCACTAGTTCTTCAGTGACTTGAAAATAAAATTGGCATGCAAGATGTTAGATATGTATCTATAATATAAGCTCACCAAGGCATTTGGAAGATTTTTGAAATAGGGTTTTAAGTTAACTTTCTAAACTCCACATATGATCTTTATAATAGATTATATACTAAAGAGAGTGAAAGATATATATATAAACTAGTCAAGCAAAGAGATAAAAAAAATAAAAATATAGTTCAAGCAAAATGTATTAAAGATGAAAATCAATCAAAAAGTACCTCTTAGACAAGGATATTCAACATAGGTGGGTGAGATATTTGATAAACTTTTCAATTTTGATTGTTAAAATATGGTCGAAGTTAGTAATCCCAATATTGTAAATAGTAACAAAAATTTTTATTTCTATCATCGCATTGGTAAAACAGAATTTGAGGATAGTTTAAAGAAAATAAAATGTGAAAAAGCAATAGGACCTCATGGTATTCCAATAAAAGTATGAAAATATTTAGAAGATTTGGAAATTTCTTTGCTTACCAAACTTTTTAATATTATCTTAAAAACTTAAAAAAATATGTAATGAGTGGAGAAAAGTCCATTGGTTCCTATTTTTAAGAATAAAGAGGATGCACAATAGTGTGCCAATTATAGATGAATTAAGTTAATGTGTCATACATTAAAGTTACGAGAAAGGTAATTGAGCATAGGTTACAACGTGACACGAAAATTTCTTTAAATCAATTTAGATTCATGTCGGGTAAGTCTCCTATGGAAGCTATAAATTTATTAAAAGGTTTGATGGAGAAGTATAGAGAGAGTAAGAAAGATCTACCTATTATCTTTGTTGATTTAGAAAAAAACTTATGATAAAGTTCCAAGAGTTACGAGAAAGGTAATTGAGCATAGGTTACAACGTGACACGAAAATTTCTTTAAATCAATTTAGATTCATGTCGGGTAAGTCTCCTATGGAAGCTATAAATTTATTAAAAGGTTTGATGGAGAAGTATAGAGAGAGTAAGAAAGATCTACCTATTATCTTTGTTGATTTAGAAAAAAACTTATGATAAAGTTCCAAGAGAAGTACTTTGAAGTTTTAAAACAGAAATGTATTGATATTATTTACATGCAAATCCTTAAATATATGTATACTAGGGTTATTGCTTGTGTTCAAACATAGGAAGGATTACCAAGTATTTCCATTTTTAGTTGCATCAGGGATCGAATTTAAGCCCATATCTTTTTGCTTTAATTATGCATGTTCTTACTGGGCATTTACAAGAGGATGAATCTTCGTCTATGTTTTTTGCTGATGATATTCTTCGTGTGGATAAGAGTAGAGAGAGAGAGTTCATGAAAAACTTGACTATTGGAGGTTAATTTTAGAGTCTAAAGGCATTCATTCGAGTAGATCTAAAACTGAATACATGGAATGTGATTTTAGTATTAGTAGATCTAGTGGCGGGGATATAACAATGAGTGATAAAGTCATCAAAAAGAGTGAACGTTTTAGATATCTCGAGTCAATTGTTCAAAGTGATGGTGATATAGATGGAGAAGTGATTAGTAGAATTCAAGCTGGATGGTTGAAGTGGAGGAATGCATTGGCCCTATTTTGTGATAGAAAACTATTGTTTAGACATAAGCAAAAAATTATACGATGGTGGTGAGACTTGCAATACTTTATGCCGCAGAATGTTGGCTTGTAAAAGACGAGCATAAAATTAAGCGTTGTCAATATGAGAATGTTGGGTTGAATAGTGGCTTTACACTTAGAGACAAGATGTGAAACGAATATATATGTGAAAGGGTTGGAGTAGCTCTAGTGGCAGACAAGGCTAGAGAGTCGCCTAGATGGTTTGGTTACATTAAATGTTGACCATCTGATAATACTATTAGAAGAGTAGATGTTTTAGATTTGACTTATGTTAGGCGAGGTAGAGGTGGACCTAAAAAGACTTGGGCATGTTGTATTACAAGTGATCATAATTTATTATAATTAAATGAAAATATGACACTCAATAAGACAACGGATAAAAAAAATTCATACAGCCGACCCCACCTTGTGGGTTAAATGCTTGTTATTGTTGTAGAACCTAGTATGTTTGTACATAATTTATCTCTTAATATCAATCACGGTCATATTTAAAATGTTACAACCATATTAGCTAGCAAAACCACATTGACTCTTTGTAATTTTTGTTTTGTTTATATAGGTGGAGAGAATATTGACCACAGTATTCAAATTGCTACAAACACGCCTTTTGCATGTTAAATCAAGAGTTGTCACCATCTTAACTACATATGTATATACATTTTTTTTTCTAAACTGATTCTACAACATTCCATGGAGTTCAATATTGTCATTCTTTTAATCTTATAAAATGAAATCACCCTCACTATTCTATAAGAGTTCTTTGTAACCTTAGAGATTTTAAGGAGGTCATCAAGGGAGTCACAGAGTTTTTGTTGACATGCAATAGCCAAAGACGTGTTCCAAGAATATCAAGCTTTATGAGGTAATTACAACATTTGCATTTAAGTTCATGTCATCATTTTTTAATTATTTAGTAATTATGTCACACAGTATTATTATTTAATTAATTTGTATATGTTTTTACTGAAAAAAAATCAAAAGATACTTCAGGCATTTGGTTGTTAAGCTACTAATATAAATATCTATTTATATCATTTATAAATCTTTTAATGATGAATGAACAACAATCTATCCCTCGAAAGTTTAACTAAGGTTAAATACTTCTGCAGCATTGCACCCTTTATGAAGTAAGGTTTCACTACGTGATGTAGTTCAAATCCAACTAGTTTAAAACAAATACATAGGCTATGTGATCCAACTATTTATCTTTCTAATTTTGACACAGGACGTGTGACAGACGAGAGGATCGCGGCTCCCAGGCCCATAGATCCCGCAGGTTATGGGAATAATAGCCCGAGAAAACTGATTTTTCAAATATTTATTATTTCTTTACGCAAATTTTCTTCTTTCCTTCTATCCTTTCTAGGTTTTTCCTATTTTTCTAGTTTCTAGTTCGTTTGTTTCTCAAGGGACATTTATATATATAAGTTGTACTATGATTTTGGATTAATCAGTTATTGATTTTATGAAGTTGAGGGACTTTCTCTCTGATTTACATTCTTCAGAGTGTTGTATCATCTTCCTATTGCAAGTGGTTTGTTTGTAACTTGCCTAGGAACAGTGGTGGATCCCTCTCGACGTTCGCAATTCACTGTTTAATCATTCAGCCGTTGTGTTCAATCCGGAAAGCTACCGAAGTCCTCCAATTGCTGTCCAATAGCAGGTTTTATCTCATCTCCCTCCAAATGCCGTCAAATTCCTATGTTGCATTCCCTTGTTATTCCACAACCACTTCCCCAGTAAATTCCCTTTATAAATGCCTTTTATGAGACCTAGAACAGTATCATCTGGAATCGGAGCAAGGTTAGCCCAAAATCTTTAGAGTTTTGTTTTTCTTGCCCCAAACAAAAATTTCAAATAGCCTATTCTAAAACCCCCACAAAAAAAAAAAACCAAAATCATTTCTACCGCAATTCCTAGCCCCAACCTTAAAATTTTTTAAAAATCATTTTTCCCACCACCACAAAAATTCCACCCCGACACCTACCCCAAAACTCTAAACACCCGTCCAACCTTAAATCGCAATCCTACAACCACAGAAAACCAGATCAAGAGAAAATGACCTAATGACGCCTAAGAGAAATCCTCAAAAAGATGTCCAAGAACTTACTATAGAGGATATGTAGCGAGAAATCCTCCAACTGTAACAAAGTCTTGATAACTTCGAGAGTAGACAATTATGTGAGATCAACCGTAGCCACAACAGTAACTTATCAGATCGAGAGGAGAAAGTGAATCCCTTCCACTATTAGTTTCTAGTGATAAAGATCCACTACCTCGACGATTTGACATAAAATATCAAGGAAGTTAGGATATTGGAGTAAAGATAAATTTACCAGATTTCGACGGTGCATGGATCCAAATGAGTTTACCGAGTGGCTTCAGACAATAGAGCATGTATTTGAGTACCAGAACATCCCACCAGACAAAATAGTAAAACTAGATTCCATTAAGTTAAAGAAGAGTGCATCTCCGTGGTGGGAGAACTTAATATATTTTTGACGGTAGGAAAGGAAAACAAAAACATTACCTAGTACAATTTGAAACAAGTGTCTTAGCGCAAGTACCTACCAGTTCATTACATACAAAACATTTGCTTGAGACTTCATTACTTGCATCAACAAGATCTCTTAGTAGAGGAGTACACAATTGAGTACAAGCATCTTCTATTGAAATATGGACTAGTGGAGCCCGAGAATAACATCATAGCTTTATTATGGTGGGAGAACATGAAGCCTATTCGACAACGAAAAGGAAAGAGTTAGATCACCATGTGATCCAAGATGAAAAAGTAAATGCATTACAAATACATTCTTCAACATTACCAACAAAATATGTTCATAAAGCTCCATGATCTGCGCCAAACAGACACTTATGTGGAGTACACAACTAACTTTGATCAACTCATATCGAAA